CCCAAGGGAGGCCAGGGTAGGGGTGGAGTCAGATGTGAAAAATGACACTTTCATCCTTGTCACTGTGCACACTAAGGCTTCTTCTGGTGTTCATTCTACCTGTAATGTTCTAGAAAGTGGAAAAAGAAGACAAGAGAAAACCTTGGCCAGATACATGATGGGTATCATAGAAAAAGGACTAAAAATTGGACAAGGAGAAAAGGAGAAGCAAATATATCTAGGACAAGAAGTCATTTTTGAGAAAGACACAGAGATGGAATAACCTGAATCAAAGGAGCACAGACAACTACCTCCAGTTCTTAGTTTCTAAACAACATGGGGAGGTGACTATGTGACCCCTATAGTCATAGGATCGTTAAATTATAAAACACGTTACGTGGAAAACACAAACACACAGACACATGTCAGTCTGTGATTGTCCTTTCTCATACTCTGACCCTTTTACCCATACCACCTAGAGACCCTGAGTCATAAGGAGGAACACCTGAGGGATGGAGCCTCACTGAGCTGCCACCTGGGGAGGATTTTGTTTACACCCAGAGCACCATGGGAGGATTCTCCTTACTCTGCTGGCAGTAATAACTGGCAGCATCCCCACCCTCCACGGAATCAAGCATGAGACTGAATTCAGTCCCAGACCCACCACCACTGAACCGGGCCAGGACCCCAGACACTCAACTGGATGCTTTCTAAATCAGGATTCTTGGATGCTGTCCTGATTTTTGTTGATACCGTATAATAAAGTGGGTAATGCCCAAAATGTCACCAACTTTCTGATTGGTCTTGCAAGAAATGGTGGCCCTCTGCCCTGGAGACACTATCAAAGAGGCTGGAGACTGGGTCAGCACAATGTCCCCAGTGCATCCTGGAATAGAAACACAACAAATTTGACAGAGGTACTAAGAGCATCCCAGTGGAGGCCACAGCACTGATGACCTTGTAGTCAAAGTCATGGACAACACTCTGAGGAACCAGAAAACAGAAGGTAACTGGGCAACGGAACCCCATGCCAAATGCTTGAATTCCAGCCACCAAGAACCCAGAGACACCAAATCATTGTGGCCACAGGGCATTTGCCCACCATTTCTCTGTATGCCCCCCCTCTCGCCTGGAGCAGGATCCACCGCAGGGGAGGCCTGCACGCCATCTCGGAGAGCTGGACCAGAGGCTGCTACTCCGGGGCCCAGACCAACTGTCTTTAGGGATGCTGAGTGCAGCCTGTGGTTTTGTCTAATGACACAACATGCAAAACTGCTTAGAAGAGCTTCAGGTTGTGCCCAAAGGGGACCCCTGCTCTCAGAACACCCTGTGGGACTTGGGTCACCAGAAATTTCCAAATATAGCTTAAGCATGTCCCAAGGGATTTGAGGACCATTTTCTTAAATCTTTGCCTTCTAGTCTGAGATGCCACGTGGGGGAGTGCCCTGGGCTCTCTTACTGTGAGGATATAGGTTATTTCAGGAACACTCATAATCCCTAGAATTACCACAATAATGTATTTCAAGTTGTGATTATTGTCTGAAACAGAAAGCCATGAGATTATAAAAGAGTGAACCAGGGTAGCCTGGTTCCTATGGGGAGAAGAAGTCGGCCCCACTGAGTAAAAGACCCTCAAATGAAGTCCTGACATGTCCTCAGGACCTGGAAAGGGTGAGAGGACTGAGCATGGAACCTTGGTGAAGGCTGGGAACAGACACTAATCAAGGAACTTGCCTCGGTGTGGAGAAGCCCGGGACTGTATCTGCTCAGTCCTGGAAACCAATGTCATGTCCCCCTCGAAGCCCTTCCAGGCAGAGCAGTCACTCCTACTCAGAGTGGAGAACCCCTGTGCCTAACTTCACATTCACCCTGCCTCTAACATTGAAGTGTCATGTGCAGGCACCGTGACAAAGCCAAGAAGACAAACCCGTGTGAATTCCAGCTTCCAGGACAAGAGCACATCCTCTATCACCTCAATACTTTCTCATGAACTAATTCTTCATCTTCTACAAAGTGCCCTCCCAAGTGGCTCCCAATGACTTTTCCCAGACAGGAGCAGACTGAGCCACATGTGATTTACCATCACCTAACCAATCATTCTACTTGTTTGTCATCTGTCAAGGGGAGGGCCAGGCAAGGGCAGGCAGCCCAGGGGAGTGGCTGGTGGCAGCATCACCTGGTATCAACACGACCTTGGACCTTGGACCTTGGACCTTGGACAGTTCTGCCTTCATCCTCCATGGGGATTTGCATCAACCTCCCACCCCTATTGCTTCCACCACAGGCCTGAAGCTGCTCACTGGGTCTTTTCCATGGACAGGGTCTGAGCAGCCTTGGGAATGCTAGAGGAAGCCTGATGGTGCCAGATCCTCAGACTCCTGCTTTTATTGTCCAGGTGAGAGAATGTCCCCAAGTTGAGAGTTCCCTCAGGGGGGACCCTCATGCTCCTGAGAAGAGTGGTATTGGGAGGGGAAAGGAAATGAATGCCACCAAACACACAGGCTTGCTTAGGGCCTGGCCTCATGTTGGGAGGCCCACTCCAGCTCTAACAGAAACACAGCATCTCTGCATCAGCCCAGTGTGCCTCTGATGGCAGCTTCCGGTGGGCACATGACACTCTACCATGCTCCTGTGTCCCTGGCCATTCCCCAAGAGAGAGTCATCAGCTGCAGGGCCAGTGAGAGGCCCCTCCACACAGTCAGGAAGCACTGCTTAGCCTGCACTAGCACGGACAGAAGGCCCTCACTTACTTCCCTTCCACCTGAGTTAATGGGGTGCCCACCCATTCAGAGGCAGCAGCTCTAGGACAGACTTGACTCATACCATCCACAGCCTGCAAGCTAACGACAATATGGCTGACTTCTGTCCTACAACATCAGGATGTACCATCATAATGACAGGACCCCACATCAGACTTTAGTCCTCTCTCTGGGTCTCATGCTAGTCATGACAGCCGTAGTCTGGCCCTCTCCACTCAGGTCCTTATGATGTTTCCCATTGCCTCCAACAGCCGTCCCCACGCAGAACCTCCTATCTACTGGAAGTTTGTAGTCACCATCTGCTGAGCATTCCTATTTCCTGACTTTGCCATTCAAATTTTAATCCAGAACAAACATCTCACAAAGGAGAAAACACTAAATCTTGGTCTATCCTTGTGCTAGAACCAATGCACATCATTTTTTTCCCAACATATTTTTAACATTAAAAGAAAAGACTTCTAGTGCAAAACCAGGAGCAAGAGCAGGCTCCTTTTGTCACTAGAGAATGTCTTAAATTTGGAAAGAACAGCAAAACAGATTTTAAGAGGGTGGCAAACAAAAAATATGGAAGGCTGCAGAGAAAAAGGACTCACCACCTGAACACATTCTCCCCCGACGCTCCCCACCAAACCACTGAGATGCGCAGTAGCCCCCGTCTCTTCTAAAAGTGCCCTGAGATTCTGTGTTTCCCCAGCAGCCTGCTCACCAAGCTTCTATCACCCCCTTCAGCCACTTCTAGAGACCTCTAGGCCTGCCTAGAAACTGGAAGTTTCTTTGAAATCAGGATAGGTAGACTACGCCACTCTAGTATCACTCCTTATTGCAGACAAACACAAGCTCCATCATCTCTCCTGGCTTCTGGAATATTTTAGCTCCCGCATCCTACAGCCTCTCACAGCCTGTCACAATTCCTAGTGGTTTCACTGTATTCAGTATATGACCCTTCCATTGTTTGGCTGACCCTCCTCCAATTGTCTCTTCCCCACCCAATCTCCATCAGTAACTCCCACGACCATGCCTTAGGTGCGCCATCAGAAAATCATGACAAGTTCTCCATCATTACAATGCAGAGCATCTCAGGGGTGCCTGGGTGGCTCAGTCAATTGAGCCTCTGCCTTCAGCTCAGGTCATGGTCCTGGGGTACTGGACCTGAATGCCCAAGGGATGACTTTAAAGAAAAACATGACAAGTGGTGAAAAAAGGTGCTGAGGCACAGTATCCTGTGTTCCTAAAGTGATGGATTTAAAATGAGTGAGGGAATCAGAACACCTGCGTGGCTCAGTCTTTTGAGCAGCCGACTCTTGGTTTCTGCTCAGGCCATGATCTCAGGCATGTAAGATGGAGCGGGCATCAGGTCCCCACTCAACAGGGTGTCTGCCTGAGAGTCTCACCATCTCCCTCAGCCCCTCCCCAGCAGCAATAAATAGATAGATAAAATCTTTAAAAAAAAAAAAGAAGAATGAGAGAATTGCTTTTGTGAGAATGAGTACGCCTGGGAGAAATGGAGAAGAGAGAGAAGGGAGGTAGGAAAGGAGCTGGAGCAGAAATGAATGTGCAGGACACTGTCCAGGAAGGCTGGGAAACAGAGCCCATGGAAGGAAAAAGTGAGAGGGACACTACTTTCCATGTGGGAGATTCTGAATAGGAAAGCTCAAAGGTTTCATCCTGGGAAGGTTCAGAGTGGGAAGGTGATGGAGGATGAAGAAAAGTGAATAAGGAAATAGAAGAGAAATGTCCCAGAGTCCAAGAGGAAAAGGAAGGGATAACTGATCCACAGGGTGGAAAGTTCATGGCCCTTTGTCAGGACTAAAGTCAGACCTTCCTGGCTCACTTCTGCTGTGGGATCCTGGGAATCACATAGTTTCCTGGGGCACAAAAACTCCTGACAGAATCACTAAAACATCTTCACAGCATTTGTCTTCCTAACATCCCACAAAAAGGGATGCTTGGGTGCCTCAGTCTGTTAAGTGGCTGCCTTCAGCTCAGGTCATGATCCCAGCATCCTGGGATCGAGTACCCATCGGGCTCCCTGCTCAGTGGGGAGCCTGCTTCTCCCTCTGCCTCCTGCTAACCCTCTTGTGCTCTCTCTCTCACTCTCTCTCTCTCTGGCAAATGAATAAATAAAATCTTTTTTAAAAAAGGGGTGGAGGATGCAGGAAAAGTCCGATACCTTCATTTTCTGCTGGGCCTTACAAGCCCTTCAAGGAGTAAGTCAGGAGAAGTGAATTCTCAGGCAAAGAGTGGAACACACATGTTCAGGGCTTAGCGAAGAGGAAACAGCTGCTTCAGCAAAACCTCCATATCCTGCCGCCCTGGGGAGCAGGTTTGTGTTCGAGGCTGAAGCAGTGTGGGTGGATAGTTATTATACTGCTGGCAGTAATAGTGCCCCACATCTTCGGCCTGGAGGTTGCTGATGGTGAGGGTGAAGTCTGTCCCAGACCCACTGCCGCTGAACCGCTCTGGGATGCCCGTGGCCCTGCTGGATGCATAATAGATGAGGAGCCTGGGAGCCTGCCCAGGTTTCTGCTGGTACCAGGCTACATTGCTATAAACACCCTGACTGGTTCTGCAGTTCATGGTGACCCGTTGACCTGGAGACACAGCCAGCGAGCCTGGAGACTGAGTCATCGTGATGTCCCCATGGGCACCTGCAATCAGAAAAATGGTGATACAGACACACTTTATCCCAGTCACGCTGAAATATGTCATTGCAAACGTGCTTCCTAATGGTACCACATGGCAGTACATCATTGGGTCTATTTTGGAAATAACCAGTGTTTCTCATTATATATTAAAATGTCATTTAAAATGACACTACTCCAGAAAGATTATGGCACTTTTCAGCTTCTCACCTGAGACCCACAGCAACAAGGATAGGAGCACCTGCCTCTGTGACGCCATCTTGCTGCCCCTTCCTGCCCGACGCAGCTCAGCTCAAGTAGCAAAGGCCCCTTTTATACAGCCTGAGACTCTGGTCTGGGCCTGGAGGGGCTTATGCAAAGCAGTCAGGGAGAACAGAAGCAAATCTCATAAGTAGTGGGTTGTGAAAGTACCCAATGGAAATCTAAGAGCCAAAAATAACTCCAAATTAGAGTTGTATGACAGGAACACACAAAAGACAACTTAGAAGCTCTGAGAACAACTTAGTTCTAAAATGACAAACTGCTACAAGATCAAATGAAGAGCTTCCATTTTCAATTTAAAAATGTCTTTAAATGGGTTCAGTTTCCGGAAATGATGAGCTTCGCTGTTCATACCAATAACCCTGGTAAAATAACAAAACATGCTGGGAAACCAATAATGGGAGGCAGGGAGGGGCAAAAGAATTGGAAAGCACAAAAAGAAAGTGGAGAACTTTGGGCCCAGCTTTTTATAAAACCTCTGACTGGAAAACATCAAGCTCTGAAGCAATTTTTCTCCTGCAGATGGGTAAGGATGAGGTAAACACTTGACCTCGGGTCCCAGGGCTCTGCAAGGACCAGAGAGATGAGAGATGGAAGACAGGCCAGAATTTCCTCACTTGGGGAGACATGTGGGATCCTCACTGGACCTAAGGGAAGACTGAATCTTGAATTTTCATTATTCTATCTTTATAGCTCAATATTTCTGTTTTGTGTTGAATTAACCAATGAATGAAATCTAGGTGCTTTCAAGAAAATTCAGTTCCCTCCAGGGGTTTGAGAAGTCAGCGCAGTGTTCCTTGGGCACCATATAAACTTCCTGCACCTGTTCCTCATTCTGCTGTTCCTTTTTAAACAGAGGGAAGGGGGCAGGAGTGGGATTCCCTTAAGATGCCAAGCATGCAGTCCCGGTGAGGAGGGCAGAGGCTGTGGAGACTTTGGGAGCACCGCAAGTCAAACCACAACACTTCTGCCATCTTTCCTCTGAGTGGAGCAGATGCCTGAGTCTTCCTCTGGCAGGTGGCACCCTGTCTGTTCCATGGGTCCCTTTGGCCGCTGCACCTCTTCATGACATGAGCCACTTCCTAAACCCAGATAGAGTCTGTATCAAGCAGACCCTACTTAGGGATCCACACCTCACCATCACAAAGTGTCAATTCACCCATTGTTCCACCCCTCAATTTGCCTCTGATGATGGTTAATTTTATGTGTCAACTTAAGTAGGCTAGGACGCCCAGTGGAGCAGTCAATGCCCATTTCGATGTTGCTGCCAAGGTATTTTTTAGTGTGATGAACATCTACATCAGTAGCCCTTGTGATATCACAGAGTCTCCTCCCGTGCTGCACAAAAGATTCACCACAGCCCTATTTCAACTTCAAAAAGGAAAGAAAACTTTATTGTTATGATAGAAAAACTAATAGAAACAGAAGAGGAAAGGAATCTACACATACAGGAAGGGACTAGTAGGCAAATAATGAGAATAAGGCCACTTTACCTCATAACGGGTACTTACAACACCCCACCTCACCAACGGGGGAAGCCCTGTGGAGACAAGCTGGAGTCCTCACTGAGAGTCCTGGGCAGAGCATCCTCCCCTCAGGGGACACTTCCAGTGGACCATCCCCACAAAGGCCATATTTATAGGACAAATAATAGGGTTTGAAATTAAACATTTGTTCACTTAGTGCAGTTTGGAACAAGCCGCATGTCCACATTATCATGTTTCTGTATTTTCAAGGAGCCTGAGCTATGTTTGTCTGCCTCCCCTCCCAGATGCCATTCTAGGGGGCCAGCCCTGCCTGGAGAAGAAGGGGATGGGAGACAAGGCTGTAGCTCTTGGCGTCCAGAACAGAAGGTCCATATCCCTGATGAACATAGATGGAAAAATCCTCCACAAAATAAGAGCAAACCAAATTCAACAATACATTAAAAGGATCATACACCATGATCAAGTAAGATTTATTCCAGAGATGCAAGGATGGTTCAATATCTGTAAGTCAATCAGCATGATATATCACATGAACAAAATTAAGGGCAAAAATCATAAGATTGTCTCAACAGATGCAGAAAAAGTATTTGATAAAATTCAATATTTATGTATTTTTTTAAAAAGCAAGAAATACCAAGGGCTATAGAGGATATGGAGAAAGAGGATATGGAGAGGATGAGGAGAAACACCCTCAAGTATTGTTTTGGGGATGAAAATTGGGGATGAAAATTGCAGCCACTATGGAAAACAGTATGGAGTTTCCTCAAAAACTTAACAATAGAACCACCCTATGATACAGCTATTCCACTTCTGGGTATTTGAAAATATATATGCACCACTGCGTCCATTGCAACATTATTTAAAACAGCCACGATATGGAAACAACCTAAGTGTCCATTGATGGATAAATGGATAAAGAAGCTGTGTTATACATGTATACGCACACAATGAAATACTACTCAGCCATGAAAGGGAAGGGAATCTTGCCATTTGGGACAACATGGATGAAACTTGAAAGTAATACGCTAAGTGAAATAAGGAAGACAGAGAAAGATATTATGTATAATATCACTTCCATGTGGAATCTAAAAAAGCCAATTACATGGAAACAGAGAATAGACTGGTGGTTGCCAGGGGCTGGGTGGTGAGATAAATAGGGGAGATGTTGATCACAGGGTACAAATTTCTGTATATAAAATAATTTCTGATGGTCTCATGTACAGCAAGGTGACTGTAGCTAACAGTATTATATGGTCCTTGAAGGTTACTAAGAGACTAGACCTCCAATGTTCTCACCACAAAAAAGTAAATAAGTAAAACAAGAAGGAAAATTATGTGAAGTGAAGGTTGCATTAACTATCCTTATGTTGGTAACCATTTCACAATATAAATGTAGATCAAATTATCACATTGTGTAAAACGTAAACTTACACAACGTTATATGTCAATTCTATCTAGAAAAAAAAAAAATGTTGACATCATTTCCTTCTGGCCCCCATGGTTTCTGAATAGAAATCCTCTGTCATTTGAGGTGTTTTCCTCTCTGAGTAGGTGTGATTTTTCTCTTTCATCCTATGATATTCTTCCTTTTTCATTAGTGCTCAAAAATGATAATCCAATGTGTCTTGACATATATTTCTTCAGGTTTATGCTGTTGGTTGTCTGCTAAATGTGAAAATTTTTGAGCAATTAATTGTTCAAAATATTTTTCATCTCCATCCTCTCTCCCCACTCCTTCTGGGATTCCAGTGGCACAAATGTTAGATCTTTTGTTTGGTCCCATGTATCCCAGATACTGTGGGGTTTTGCTGCAGTTGGTTTTGACTTTGGGGTTTTGTTTTGCTTGGATTTGTTTTTAGCTTAGTTTCTCATTTTGGTTTAGACTGGGTAATTTCTTGCTTCTGATCTTTCCTCCTTTATCCTTTCACTCTCTTCCTTCCACAGCCTTCTTAGCCAGCCACCTCGTAGGGCATCCATATCCTTACTTCAGCCCATTTCCTAGCCACATTAAGTCAATGACCATTTGTGCTCTTTGAGCATCTACTTAAAAACATCTTATTTCATTATGGAATGGTATGGGAGCTGTCCAGTTTAACTTACATCAACATATCATGCAAAACTGGGCAGAACTTGGAGTCCTTTCTATGCTATAAGCTGGTTGGCAAGCCCTGTGTCTTTAATGAAATGTGGTAAGAAACAAAGACAGAAAAGCTATTACAAAGCAGTAAGAAGTTTTTATTATACGCAAATGCCCTGGAAACAGAACAACAACACACAGCATGCCACGCGGCGACACAGGCAGTCCAAGGTGAGAAGGGCATACAGAGAGAAGTACTGCTGGCCTGTATTTTTTATGCATATTTCATGAGAAGTAATGGAGAAGCAAAGTCAACAAGCTACTCACACATAAGATTGGAGAGTTTGAAAATTTCAGGAGGCTGCAGACTCTAGCTGTGGCCCTTGTCCTCTAGTACCCATGGGGGATTTGGGTAGAGGGAAATGTCACAGATTGTTGGTCTCATTGACAGGAAGAGAGTAAGGATTTGGACTCAGGATTGTCTGGCTTGCATATCAAACCTATGCCTTTGGGCAGGTCTTTTACTGCCTCTGGGAATTAGCTAATTTGGGGAGAGGAGGTCCCTTCCTGGCTGGAGCAGCAAGAATGCAGTAATAAGAAAATCCATTAAATATAAAGCCTCATGAGGCTGAAAATAGGAGCTCATGCAGGGATGTTTGGGAAAGAGTAGGAAGTATTGTGGTGATCTGAAACTCTTGTCCCATAAATCGTGTGCCCGCTGAATCTGCTTGGGTCCAATACTGAAGAAACTACTATCTCCTTTCTGAGATTGTCTGCTGCTGGGCTCCACCCAATCTGGTGTGTCTGACATTTCTGGTTTAGGATGAACAGCTCTGTCACACAGTTAATTGATGTGTCATGGACAGGTCTACTGGGGCCTGTGCTATGCTAGGAACTACTTG